ATATATATATATATATATATATATATATTCAGTTGTGTGAAAAAGTTTTTGTCCCCTTACTGATTTCTTTATAATTGTTTTATTTATTTATGTATTTCGTTTTTATTTGAATAGGTCAGAGGGAGTTTTAGACAGAAACGCATTGGGAGCACAGAGAGGATTAATTGGCAAAGGACTTCGGGTATCGAACCTCGGTGCTATATGTTGGCGCACTTAACCACTAGGCTATTGGCACAGACTGATTTCTTATTTGCATGCATTTATAAAAATGAAGGTTTTTATTATTAAGGTAAAAAAGCTGAATGCAGAACTACAAAGCCCTGTGTGAAAGTGTTTGCTACTTCAGGAACCGGAAGACTTGCGGCAATATATATTAATCCAGGAGTTTTGCTTTGTACCAAAATATCCTGAAGGAGAATGTCTGGACGTCTGTTAGTGACCACAAGCTGAAGCAAACTTGGGATCTGCAGCAGGACAATAATCCAAAGCACACCAGCAATCGACTTCTTAATAGCTGAAGAAAAACTAAATAGTTAGGAGTGGCCTAGTCAAAGTCCTGAACTAAACCCAATTGAGATGCTGTGGCATGACATTAAAAAGGTAGTATACGCTGGAAAACCCCCTAAATTACAACAATTCTGCAAAGATGCGTGGGCCAAAGTTCCTCCACAATACTATAACAGAGTTATTGCAAGTTATGGAAAATAAAATGCTTGACTGCAGTTGCGGCTGCTAATTGTGGCCAGAGCAGTTATTAGATTTAGGGGGCAAATACTTTTTCACACAACGCTATGCAGCAATGTAATAAAAACCTTCATGATGTGTTTAAATGCGTTATCTTTGACTAATATTTACAGTTGTTTGATAATATAAAACATTAAAGACTGACAAACATGCAAAAAAATTAAGAAATCAGTTTAGGGGCAAATACTTTTTCACACCACTCTCTTGCTCCAGTGAAAAAGCCCCCCCCCCTCCCCCTTACAGATTTCTTATTTTTATTATGTTTGTCACACTTTAATAATTCAGATTTGGAGTGGCCAAGTCAAAGTCCTGACCTGAATCCGATTGAGTTGCTGTGACATGACCTTAAAAAGGCGGTTCATGCTAGAAAACCCTCCAATGTGGCTGAATTACAGTAATTCTGCAAAGATGTGTGGGCCAAAATTCCTCCACAATATATGTAGTAACAGACTCGATGCAAATTATCAAAAATAAAATGCTTGACTGCAGTTGCGCTGCTAATTGTGGCCAGAGCAGTTTTTAGATTTAGGGGGCAAATACTTTTTCACACAGGGCTATGCAGCAATATAGTAATTAAAACCTTCATGATGTGTTTAATAGTGTTATTTTTGACTAATATTTACATTTGTTTGAAAATATAAAACATTAAAGACTGACAAACATGCAAAAAAATTAAGAAATCAGTTTAGGGGCAAACACTTTTTCATACCACTGTCTTTCACTCTCTTGCTCCAGTGAAAAAGTCCACCCCCCCACAGATTTCTTATTTTTATCATGTGTCACAATTTAATATCTCAGATTTGGAGTGGAGTGGTATGCTTGACTGCAGTTGCGGCTGCTAATTGTGGGCCGAGCAGTTATTAGATTTAGGGGGCAAATACTTTTTCACACAGGGCTATGCAGCAATATAGTAATAAAAACCTTCATGATGTGTTTAATAGTGTTAACTTTGTCAAATAAGTTTTTTATTTGGTCGTTGAATAAACTTACAGTAATCACATATTCCAGGATTAGTTTTCTGATATGCATACATTTACAAAAACAAAACAAACAAACAAAAAAAACAAACACCCCAAGCCCAGCCTGTAAGTATACACTACAGTCATATTCAAAACAACTTTTAGTTACAATACATTGCTTTGGGGGGAAGAATTCCCCATGAATTAACAAAAGAAAGGGCCCCAAATTTTCTGAAATTGTCCAATATTGCCTTTTAAAATAAATCTGGTTCGTTCCAGGTGCAGAGTAGATGTCAATTCTTCAAGCCATAGTTTGGCAGTTGGAGGATTAACATTTTTCCAATACAATAATAGCAGCTTTTTGGCTGTAATCAAACAATATGCAAAGAATTTCTGTTGTGGACTGCTCAGTGAATATGTATAATCAGAATGTCCGAATATAATAAGCATTGGGTCAGGATCTATATGTTGATCAAGAACATCTGAAAGCACTTTAAAGACCTCATTCCAGAATCCCTGTATTTTATGACAGAATATACTTGTGTTATCTTTGACTTATATTTACATTTTTTTTTTGATAATCTAAAACATTAAAGACTGACAAACATGCAAAAAGATAAGAAATCAGTGAGGGGGCAAACACTTTTTCACACCACTCTCTCTCTCTCCAGTTCTATGAAAATGTGCTTGCCCTCTGATGGATTTCTAGTTTTTAAGTGTTTGTCACACTTTATTATTTCAGATTACCAAACAAAATTTGAATATTAGTCAAAGCAAGCACAAGTAAACAGATTTAAAAAAGAATAAATGAAGACTTTGGAGTGGCCTAGTCAAAGTCCTGACCTAAACCCAATTGAGTTGCTGTAGCATGACCCTAAAAAAGGTGGTTTATGCTGAAAAACCCTCCAATGTGGCCGAATTACAGCAATTCTGCAAAGATAAGTGGGCCAAAATTCCTTCACAGTGCTGTAACAGACTCAATACAAGTTACCAAAAATAAAAAGCTTGACTGCAGTTGCTGCTGCTAATTGCAGTGATAAGGTTTAGGGGGTAAACACTTTTTTCACACAGGGCTATGTATTTTGTTTTCCCATAGTGATAAAAACCTTCATGATGTGTTTACATTTGTTTCATGATCTGAAACACTAAAGTGTGACAAACATGCAAAAACATCAGAAATCAATGAGGGGGCAAACACTTTTTCACACCTCTCTCTCTCTAGTGGTGTGAAAAAGTATTTGCCCCTTACTGATTTCTTATTTTTAAGATGTTGGTCACTAATATTTCAGATTACCAAACAAATTTAAATATTAGCCAAATATAACACAAGTAAACACATCATGCAATTGAAAAAAAAAAGAATAAAAGAAGACTTTAGAGTGGCCTAGTCAAAGTCCTGACCTGAACCCAATTGAGTTGCTGTGGCATGACCTTAAAAAGGCGGTTCATGTGGCTGAATTACAACAATTCTGGCAAAATTAGTGAGCCGAAAAGAAATCAGAGGGATGACAAACACTTTTTCACATCTGTGTACCATGCACATGCACATGCACATGCACACACACACATATATAGACAGTTTTCTGTTAGATACTGGGCAAAACTGACAATCCTTAATGATTTCTGAGGTCTCTACATAAGCGCTCAATCCCCTGTCAGGACTTCAGTTTTGTCTATAAAAAAGAATATGAATATATATATATATATATATATATATATATATATATATATATATATATATATATATATATATATATATAT